TGAACTAGATCATGCATTGATTACTAACTAGTTTTTGTTTTGGCTCGGAGTACTCGGTAAGTGTTTATGCTTTAGCATCCTTGCATACGTGTGAGTGATTGCCATGATAGCATGCTTACCATGAGGCTATATGCTTATGTGATATAACTGCCTGAATGCTTGTGGGTGAAGGTTGGGTTGCTTGAGTTGGAATAATTCATCAAAACCCGTGTTTTAGCCTACTTGCGAGTAACAAACCTCAATCTATTTTTCAAAACAAACGGATATGCAACGCTTTGTACCAACTCAAACGATCCAGTCTATACTTGTATGTTGTGTGCATCACATAGTAATTCTAGGCTAATAACCGGAATAAGAGCATATAATGTTTTCAAAACTCGATATCATGGTTAGTAGAGGCCGATCTTTGATCGGGCGAGCGGGGGTGCTCACGAAGTGACCTTCCCCAATCGTACCCAAGTTCCCAAGCCGAGGCAACTTTGGTGATGACGGACACGTGGTGTTAGGCACGAGTTAGGGTTTCCTAAATTCTCCCAAAATAAAATATTTAGGTGGCGACTCTGTATCTGGCAAAGCAGTCCATGTTTGGCACTTTTTTCTAAAAATCAGTTTTTCAAAACGATTTGCCGGATTTGGACTCTTTGATGATTCATCGATCTTGCATTGCAGTCTACGAGATTAGATACAGGATCGTGACATTGAGTCCTGAACTGTAGTAAACCCACCAACGAACAAAACGGGATTTCCCTCCCGGGATGTTCGGGGACGTCTACACAATTGGAATCTTGAACTGAAAATTGAAAGCCTTAGAGGCGCGAGAAACCAAAATCAACTTCATATTTGTGATCAGCGTGATTTTTAGAGCTTACGGCGAAATTTTGTAAAATTACGATTCGTAATGTTTTAATTAACCTAATTTATATATCTAGCTCTTACGTTTTTGTTTTTTTTTTTGAGAGCTCTAGAGAGTGAGTTAGAGAGAAAGGAAGGGGAAATGCTAGGGATTTGGAAGAGATTCAAGGGGCAAACCCCAGATTTGAACTAAGGTATGATAATCTACTTGGAATCTTTGTATGTGTCTTACATTTTGCTTGAAATCAAGAAGAAATTGAGAATTATGTGTTAGGGTTTGAGGTATGTAATAGTTAGAACTAAATGCAAGAAATTGAGCCCTAAATCTCTTCATTTTTGTTTGTTTTGAGTTCATTCTTGTAATTAGTCCATGAAATAGACTCTGAATGGTTCATACACCCAAGATTTGTTCAAAGATTCACCATGTTTGTATGTATATGGAGCTTGTATATGAAATTCATGAATCTATGAAAAGATAAGACTTCAATTTTGAACTCTAAGCAAGATTGATGTATTTGAGTTGTGATTACACTTGTGTAAGGTTAGTATTCCGTGTTTTAAAGGAAGATTACTTGAGATCTTAACTTGAAATTGGGTTTGAAAGCTCACACTTTGAACCATTTTCGAACTGTCTGATTTTGCCCAGACTGCACGAGCGGCCACGAGCTCCGCACGAGTGGAACGTGAAGAAAAATAGAGGTTTGCATTTTCCTTAAACCACTGTTCGAGCTGCCAAGGCCACCGCTCGAGCGGCCCAGTCACCGCACGAGCAGTCAAAATGGGCGCACGTGCGGCCAGCCCTATTTCAACTTATACCTGATAACTTCAAAAAGGTATATCTCCTTCATCCAGACTTTGTTTTGAGCGATTCTTGAGCCTAAATTCAAGCCCTGAAAGTCTAGTTTCTAATGGTGGTAGTATCACATCCAAATTCTAAGTACACAAATAGATATCCTAAAATTAGTGAAGACTGTTTATTTTCTTTTAACCATTTCATGCCATTTCTTACCCTAACTTAGTTTCCTTTCACTTTTTGCTATTTCCTTAAACCTCAATTAAGTAAACATGATATTTTCAATGAAAAACATATGAAATTGTTGTAGGAAATATTAATTTAAGTCATGAACATTTAGGGTCGTTTAAAGTACATCTTTGGCACATGCTTTGTACGTGATTCACATATAAAGAATATTAGCATTAAACATTGGAGAGAAATTAAAGAAAGGTATACGAATTGAAGCAAATGATTTATCAAATGTGTATGTGATATGTTTTGTGTAGGTCGTGTGCCAGAGGCAACGTCGCAAGACCAAACGCATTATGAGTAATAGTATTGTAAAGATATGTCGTTAATTGATTATTTTGATCTACGTACTATAACTTATTCATTGTGTTGTGATCGAAATGAACGAGTTTTTTGAACGTTATATGACATGTGCAATAAGGACTTAAGATTATTCCGTTTTGATATGATGCGCTCGAGGCTGTTTTGATATGATGGTGTGACGCTCTAATTTTTTTTTTTTTTGAAACATCATAAAAATTTAAATAACAATAACTTACTAGATAAAATTTTAACTACTAATTAGAGAATTTTAAACTCTTACATAGTCAAGTCCAACAACAAAATAAAATTACAAGTTCACTTATAAAATCACAACATTGTTAAATACTAATACAAGAGATAATAGAATTTTATTTGGATAAAATCTTGACTCTAAGTTAGCCAATGTTCGATATTAGCAGCAGCTCCAAATTCAGTCTCAGTCCCTTCTTCGACATAATCTAGCATGAAACGCCAACGTAACAAAATATATGCCATGAGTTTTGCAACATAGTAAGAAAACATAACCAACTTACCATTCTTTTTGAGGGAAAATAATGAGATTATAAACACGAGATACTAATATAATCGTAAACATAAATTAAAATTATTAAAATAATTCAAATAATTTTAATAAATTAGGTGACCCTTGAAACCTCACCAAAGAGGTTTAACTTACCAACCATTAAGTCATAGCCACAGTTAATTTGAAACCCCCATTGGTCAAATATTCAAGAACTACCAAAGATGCCCACGCCCGGAGTTATATACCCAAGCCGTGACATCCGTGGTCTGCCCCAAGGAAATGGTCTGCCAGGGGTACATAACTTCCCTGCGTGCCACCCGCACATCCACCCTTATTCCAAAACCAAATACCGATAAGGGTTCAAATAATCCCCGTGCCATCTTAGGGTTTCGCGACACAATTTACTTAAAAATTATTAAAAACCACAAGTTATTAATTTTTAAGGAAATCATTATATTGCCATGGACATCATTGATACTTTGCTGCTCAGTTTATTTTATTGGGGGTTTTTTTTGGTACCCCAAAAAATTTTAAACAAAACAAAAAAAAAAAAAAAAAAAAAAACTCCCAACATAAAACATTATACATGTCACACAATAATAATTCAATGTATAAAATTTAATAGACAATTAATTTAAACCATGGTATGAACATAATAACTTAGATACAAGAAATAAACCATAATCACACACATGCACAAATTTTTTATTTACAAAATTAGACTAGCGCAATATTAAATAAATCACAACACACCCACACATGGATTACTAATTTATAATAGTTGATGGGTTAGACCAACACAATATTGAAGTGATGATTTTATCCTGTCCAGAAAATTTCAGATTATAACTTAGGTATTAAAAATTATAAATAAATTATTTACACAATCCTAAAATCCGTGCAATTGAATAGAATACTCAATAGGGATGTTTAGGTCATTTTTCAGAAAGAATTTCAAAAAAAAAAGATGTAAATAATCCTGTAAAATTTCCAGCAATTTTTATGACACAGATTTGTCACATTTTCTTACATTAATTCCATGCTTAAATTTATAGATCAAATCCATAATCTAAAAATTTATCATGAAACTAGACTTATCAAATTTCATCTTTTAGTTAGAAATTGCCAGATTTGGCTTAGTATAGAATTTTAAATAAATTTTCAAATACATAGTAAAATCTGTCTCACCGTTTCAGATTTAGTTAAAAATTTGTATAAATTGGCAGAAAGCTCAAAAACTGTTGCCAAAATTCCTGGATGAACTAGACATTATTCTCAACAATTTTGTAGAAGAAATCATCTCCAAATTTTGAGTATAAAATTGTCTAAAAATTCGTGCAAACATTTTGGCAGATTCAAGGACAAACAAATTATTTTCAATCTTCTCTTTAAAGGTATAAACTACACATGCAAGCTTATTGTTACAATAATAAGATGATTTTAAGACTATCAATATCTTCAAACATTTGATATACACATCACAAAATTCCTACACATATATATATATATATATATATAATTTCTATTTATGAGTAGTCATTTTAATCACAAGAACATAACCTGAAAACTTCATCAATAAAAAGAAATGAGAGGGTTTTCTTACTTAATAGTAGGATTGAATCGGGTGATGAAATGATAGAAAAATTTTGCTTCCTAAACCTTCCTCTCTTCTTCTCTTTCTACTTAATTTTTCTTCCTTATTTCCTCATCACCCGTCCAAAGGAGCAGACATGCATGTATACTAAGCTAAGCCTTCTTTTTTTTTTTTTTTTTTTTTTTTGTATATCTCTCAGATTATGCTCAGCCTTCCTTGTATATATATATAAAATCATGCTGAGCCTCCCCCTCCCACTCCCTCTCTCTCTCTCTCTTTCTCATCATACTCTCCACTACGAATCTCCTCAACCCAAGAACTATGATGAGGTGAAAGTTTCTATGGTTACATGCAAGCTAGCAGGTGGCACTACTCTGCCACCGAAAATCTGATTCTTCTTCTTCTTCTTCTTCTTCTTTTTTCTACTAAGGTTTTTAGTATGATGTTAAATCCTAATTAAAATAATTTATAAACAATAAAGATTGAACATCCACAAAATTATTATTCTTAATAAGGTCTTTGTTAGTGATTGAATTGAGTTAATTTAAAACTAATTTTTACACTATTATATATTTTAGGTAGATTCTGAATAAAATTAATTAATTAATTTATTTATTTATTTATTTTCTTTTAAGAATAATTAAATATGGGTTTTCACAATCTACCGTCCTAAAAAAAATTTCGTCCTCGAAATTAATTCGTACCTTTAGACTCGAAAAGTTGATGGTAATTGGCACATATCATATCATCTCGTTCCCACGTTGACTCTTCTGTCCCACGATGTTTCCAGAGAACTCGGACCAACGGCATAGTTTTACCTCGTAATTTCTTCTCGCGACGATCTAAAATTTTGACAGACTTTTCTTCAAATGTCATATCTTCATCAAGATTAATTTCCTCCCAATTGATGATGTGAGAAGAGTGTGGCTTGTATTTCCGTAGCATAAAGATGTGAAAAACATTATGCACTCCAGCCAGTTGAGGTGGTAGAGCCAAACGGTACGCCATTTCTCCTATTTTGTCCAAAATTTCAAAATGCCCAATGAAGCGAGGTGACAACTTTCCCTTCTTTCCAAACGAACAACTCCTCGTCGAGGCTGTATTTTCAAAAACACATGATCTCTAACTTTAAATGCTAAAGGTCTTCTCCTTTGATCTGCATAGTTTTTCTACCTACTTTGAGCGGTCTCAAGTCTTTGCCTAATTAGTGAAACCTTCTTGGTAGTTTCTTGAACTAACTCTAGCCCTAAAAGAGGTGCTTCTCTGACTTCCGTCTAACATATTGGTGACCGGCAAGGCCGTCCGTACAAAGCTTCATACGGTGTCATACCAATACTTGCTTGAAAACTGTTATTGTAAGAGAATTTGACTAGTGGTAAGTGTTTCTCCCAACTACCTTTGAAGTCCATCACACAAGCTCGAAGCATGTCTTCTAAAGTCTAAATTGTTCTTTCTGATTGACCGTCAGTTTGAGGGTGAAAAGCTGTGCTAAAACACAACTCTGTACCCAAGGCTTTTTGCAGACTTTGCCAAAATTGTGACGTAAAATGAAAATCACGATCTGACACTATTGAGACTGGTACTTAAAGATTCGAGTGTGCCTGCTGGTCCTATTGGTAGGAAATGTGCCGTCTTAGTTAACCGATCAACCACCACCCAAATGGCATCATGGCCTTGCAGCGACCGGGGTAATCCCGTTACAAAATCCATTGTTATTTGTTCCCATTTCCACTTAGGTATTGGTAAAGATTGGAGTTTCCTTGCCGGTTTTTCATGTTCTGTCTTCACTTGCTGACACGTCAAGCACTTAGATACGAATTGAGTAACGTCCTTCTTCATTCCACTCCACCAATACTGTCGCTTAAGATCCTGGTACATCTTGTTTCCTCCCAGATGAACCGCAAAAATCGAATGGTGAAATTCTTTAAGTACTTCGTCTCTTAATTGTTTGATGTTTGGCACAAAAATTCTACCTAAATACCTTAAACTACCATCTTGATAGAGTGTCCAATCCGGTGAAAATTCCCCGGACACTAATCGGGCCTTGATGAAGTCGATCTCTTGATCAAATCTTTGGGCTTCCAACACTTTGGTAAGAAGTTGGGGTGTTGTAACTATTGTAAACAACCTACCCTTCCCATTTTGAGTCTCTGGTTGTAACTTAAACCCATTCACAGTGCTTACCATTTCCCATTCTTTAATTGATATGTTGGCTACAATCTCCCTTGTCTTTCGACTTAGTGCATCTGCTACAACATTAGCCTTCCCGGGATGATAAGACAAGGTGAATTGGTAATCTTCAAGGTACTCCATCCAGCGTCTCTGCCTCATGTTCAAATCTCTTTGTGTGAACAAGTACTTCAAGCTTTTGTGATCGGTAAATATCTCAAATTTTTCGCCATAAAGGTAATGTCGCCAAGTCTTAAGTGCATAGACCACAGCTGCCAACTCCAGATCGTGAGTAGGATAATTTTTCTCATGATTCTTCAATTGTCTTGATCCGTAAGCCACTACCTTCCCGTGTTGCATTAACACACTACCTAACCCTTCTTTAGAGGCATCACAATAAACAGTGTACCCAACGTCACGTTCGGGTATGACTAATATAGGAGCGCTTGTCAGTCTCTTCTTTTATATGGGTTGGGTTTGGGTTGGATATGAAGTGATGTGTTAGAGAGGTGATGTGACTTAAATAAGATGATGTGATTTAAATAGGATAGTGAC